TATATACATATATACATATATAGAAATACATATAGTTGAATTAAGCTACGGAGAAATGTGTATCATCAAACATGGCTTGACCCACCTGGATCCATCAGTAAAGGTAGATACATTTAAAACACGCCTGTGCCTGCGTGAGTGCAAGTGCACACCTCATGAGGTTACCATATACATGCAAATAAAGGAAAAAAATGGTAAAAACATACGGCACGAGGAACAGGACGAAAACGCACACGCGCACTCACACTGCGAGAAAAAAAAGACGGGTAGGGAAATTTGTTCGCAGCGACAAACACCAAAAATCTTCTCTATTCATTTAAACACACACGCACACAATAAACGGTGATGTCAAAACAAAACAAAACAAAACAAAATGGAAATTTGTTGCGTTCCAAGCGGGGAGGGGAGCCTCTCCTCGGAAAAGAGCACGTTGGGCGGGAGGAGTCCTGAACCCGGCCCCTGCTTCTTCCCCCACACCAGTAGTGCGAATGAAGAGCACCAAAAAGTGAAGGAATGCGGAGAAGGAAAACGAAAGGGATTACGAAGAAGAGCAATGCTCCACTATACATGTGCAAAATACCGAACTCGTGGCACAGATGATGCTCAGAGCCGCGGAATGCAAAAGTACTGCTATCCAGTAACGAAGAAAAAGGATCACAACCAATGAAAGGAGCGACCACGGCAGCCGTCCCCACGTCTACGTCAGTATTCAGTCAAATCGTAAACGTCTGAGCTTCTTGCGGTAGGGGCGCAGGGGGTCCCTTGTGTCGTCCCGCCGCATAGCCCCCATCTCGTGGTAGAGAGGCAACAAGCCTGTGTTCGGGCTATCTCCGCTTTGAGGCTGAGGCAGAGGCTGTAATCTCTGCCCTCGCTGCATCCCAAGCACCTCGTTAACCTCACTCAGATTCACCCGTCGTTCCTGCCTTGCTGTGTTAAAATCAGTCCGCAGCGGCCAGCGAATGTTACGAGTTGTTGGCGCAACTCTCGGAAGCTCTATACCCTGATCCCACGTCGGCACAGGCTTCTCCTGCGGCACGTAAAACAGCTCTTCAGGCGTGCCGGTTTGCCGTTCTTGCTCAGTCGTTGGCTTCCGGTATCGCAGCCCGGGCCGAGGATAACTGGGCATTTTGCTTAAGTGCGAAGGACGGTAGGGCCGGCCAACATCCGCTCCAAGTGTTCTCAGGTGGTGCTTCCGGGGCGCGGCCGGCCGCACCGGCACCCGCAGCGGCTTCAATGCACGCAAGACGGGCGTTCGCTCAGTTTTGTAGACCTCCCAGACATGATCAAACGGAGCATCTCTCAATACCTCGTCGACGCGCGCCTCGCTGATGGATGCACTATGCTCCACGTAGAAGTCTACCACGAGGTTCTCACTAATGTGCAACGCCGCAACCCGCACGTCCTCCGGCCTAACATCTAGCACCTCGACAAGGTCCCTCACAAATGCTGCGGCCACAGCATCTCCTTGAATCCTACTGGTCCAGTCTGATCCCAGAAACCCAACGCGATGAAAGGTTTTCGTGCGACCACCACGATCACGAAAAGCGCAATCATCGTGCAGTTGCCACATAGTCAAAAACGGAGCCTCATCCAACAAGCGCAGCACGTCCTCTTGCGACAAAGAAGCGGCGTGCTCCAAGAGCACCGTAACAACAACATCACCCGTCGGACTACACGAAACACCTTCAACTGACCTTGGAACAACACCACCAATATCCAACACGTCACGCCAAAAACAGTCCTTCAAACGAACTAAGTATTTATCCACAACAAACTTCCAATCATCTCCAACAAAGCCAACACGATAAGACGCAAATAACTGTGGAGGTTCCCCTAATCGCAACGAACGTCGATACTTTTCACCGACATTGGGATCCACTCTGAGCTCAGCTCGCCGCACAGATTTTACCTCATCCTTCTTCTCTGAGCCAGCAGTTGGCGCCCCCTCTATCAACTCTAACGGAAAAGCAGCCGTGCGAAGCCCCACGGGAACCTCCGGCGAAGGGAAGCACTCTTCTGTGACACGCAGCGTAGGCAACACGGCGTACGAAGACTGCAGCTTCAGCGGAGATGCACCACACACTTCGGCGGTGCGCAGCACAGGCAACATCTCCTCCTGGGCAGCCAGACGCACGACAGCGGGCACTGAACCCGGCTGTTTGCGGGGCTCGTACAGCTTCCACGTCCGGAGGAAGTCGCACTCGGCAAGGCGCTTGGCAACGTCGCTCTCAGTAAACGAAGGCGCGTGGCGGAGACCAAACTCAACTGTCAAGCTGCCCAGAGCAAAATCCACATCGACGACAGAGCCGCGAGGCACGCCCACCGCGCCACAGACGTCAGCATCGAACGCCTCGCACAGCGCGGCTCGCTTTCGCTCCAGAACGAGATCCCAGTCGTCGCCGTCAAACCGTGCACGGTGGCGTGTCACCACAGGCTCCTCCTCAGATGGCAACGTCATTACAGCACTCATGGCAGTGGGCGCTTCCTCAGCAGGATAACCAGAGGGGAGGTGAACGGAGAACTCACGCTTACGCGCCGGCTGAAGCACCGACTCCGCAGCCGGCTCCTCTACGGAACGTGGTGGAACAGCAGCCGTGCGAAGCCCCACGGGAACCTCCGGCGAAGGGAAGCGCTCTTCCGTGA